GAGGGGGACAGTCATTTCTCTGTGGAAAGATATTTCTTACAATAAACAAAAATACAATTTAACTCTTGTGAGCCTAGAAAAGAAAGATATTAGGAAAATAAGATTGGCTTTATGGAGGAGGAGGGCTTTAAGGTGGAGGAGTCTAGTCAACCGGTCAAAAATTTGTTATGACACCTGTACTAAGGATAACTTTCACTTTTCACTTTTTTGTTGAATAAGTGTGAGCAAGATATATAATAACGGTGAAAATAATAAAAATTGATTGCATTTGTACAGTGTAAATTCCCGCTCAACAGCAAACTGTACTGTAAGCGCTTTACAATCTATATTATTACCCCAGCAGACCTGATAGCATTCTGAAACAATCTCAACTTACTAGGAAGCATACAGTGCAAGCTGCCATTTTAAATGTGCTTAAAACCTAACATACTGACAAAATCTTTCACTGTCTATGGCTGGGTACCTATTCACACTTTGGTGAAGTTAGGAAACTTTGTGTAAAATGCCTTTCCCGAGGACACAACGTCGGGCCTGAGGCTCTCGAACCCCCGAACCCGCAACCTCACGATTACAAGTGTGGAAGCCTAACTAACCTATGACTACCAACACTACTAATATAAAATCTCATAATTTTCTCATTTTAGGCACATGTACTTTTGAAAGTGGCTTGTGTGGCTGGAATGACAGAAGTGATGGAATGTTTGCCTGGGTCAATGCCACAGCTGCGTCTGCCACCGGGACCATGCCGAGAGTGGACAGTACCTTCCCTGGTATCTCCAAAGGTAGGAGGGCTTGGGCTGGTGATATAATACTAATGTTTATACGTGGGAGGCTCAATGTTAAAAACAATCAGGAAACGACAAATGCAGTTTTTGGGACCCCTGAATAGACATAAGGGTCTTGAACATCTAGCTCTCACTGGCAAAATTGAGGGCAAGCGAGGCAGGGGTAGGCCCAGTACAACTTATTTAGGGAACCTAAACTAATGGGTAACAGGGAAAGATCAGGGAAACATAGCTTTTTTTTTAGAGCATCCGAGCAAAGGAATGAATGGAAAACCATGATTGCCGATGTCAGCCGCAGATCTGACACTGGATGATGATTATACATTATGTAATCGGTCCTATCGGAGACGGACATTGAACTAGGAGGTCCCGCTCCTTAAATAACTTAATAGTGTTGATAGGGGCGTTAAACCCATACCATTTCACAATTTCACTTTATGTAACAATCGAAAATAGCGTAATACGTAATTTATAAAGTGTAGTATTTTGATGAGCGATTGATTTCACCACAATTCCACACATTCAGCAATGATTTAGAGTCAGAACTGTGGGTATATACTGGCAGGGATAGACTTATACGTTTGAACCCTCACCTCTTACCCACTGTAGAGATTGGGGGTGGGGAAGATAAACGTGTTAGAAGCAGACAGTTGATCAGTCACAAATGATCCCAAACACTGATATTATATATAATTTGTTTATTCTGTTTACATTGTGATGACGAAAGATGACTTGCTGATTGTGAGGCATACTGACAAAATGAGTTACTTCTCGCAATTCAAGAATGGAGGTATCGGTTGAAAATCAACACTGTGGTCAAATTGATAGATTTTCAATAGATGTCATTTCGTTCAAGTCTACCATATCTTTTATTTTTCCATATATACAAATTGTACAAATTGCACCTAAAAAGTTAATGTATCAATTTCCATAAGGTTAAAAGCCGAGAAGTAACTCATTTTCTCAGCATACCTCTTAATACTGTTGTCTATTTTGCCTGGCGATATTATTGAATCATTGACATTACTCTGCAATGCGTCTCTGTACAAAGATTGCTAGAACTCTCTTATGATTTGTGAGGCATCATGGTAAAAATCAGTTGCTCATCAAAATAAGGTAATCAAAGAAACCGGCATTTTTCAGCCTGTTTAGCAATTTTTATCAAATTTTTTTTTTAGGCTCAGCACCTTTATATGCCCATGGAAAAATTCATTTATGAAGGTTTTTTTTACTGAAAAACGTTGATTAAAGGCACAAAAAAACAGATGTAAATTTGCAGGGTCTAAGGATTCTGTAGCCAAAATTTGGTGGCCTTTTTCTTGCTAATTTTACCTATGAAACCAGATGACTTCCACCTTCAATCACAAATATCTGGACTTCTATTGGCGATAGATTTGTATTTTTTTCTAATTTAAAGCAAAACAAATGAACAAGCTTTTAGACAAAACCACTAACTGCACATGTTCAAAAATGGACAATTAGTGCCTGATTCCACCGTGTCCCAACACATTTGTCTGTTTGTCTTCCCAGGTCATTACATGTCTCTTACCGGAGGCACCGGTACGGACAGAGATCCGGCCACCCTTGCTTCTCCTGTTCTGCACAACACCAGCAGTAGCTGTCAGATGTCCTTCAATTACTTTGTGGCCAAGACTAGTCATTCAGGTGATTGGCTAGGGACTGTCGCTTTTGTCAATGTTCCTGTATTCATATAGGCTACCTGTACATTGATATATTATGTTTTGGGTGTTATCTTACATACCCTGATGTGTGAATGTAGCATGTATTTTTAAGACATTATAATCTATTAATGTCTTGTACTTGTAAAGCGTATTTAGCACTTCAACCCTCTTAGCACCATAAATAGGTCAGCAGGTCAACATAACAAAACCGAAATGGCTGCCAGCTGTTAGCTTCTCAGAACCGAATTATTTCAGTGCTTTTTAGAGGATCAGGGAATGGAGAAAAGAAATTGCTTTTGCTTTTGATCTACTAAGCGAAGTATTTACAATGGAAATTTCATCTTCAAAGACGAAGGACGTCAGCATCTAAATTTAAAGTGGATTGTTTGTAGCCTGCGGGTGTGTCGGGCCAGTGAAAATCGGTATGGCTCTACAGAGGGAAACCGGTAAGAACCGGTATGGCAACTCGACGGGAAGGTCAACTTAGGCCGGTATGGCTCAAAAAGGGTTATCCTATGGAAATGTACTGAATAAATACTATGTACTATTATGTCTTATAGCGATGTAACTGAGGATGGAATCTGTACTTAGGGACATGTCCTGCAGTGATGTAACTCTGGTAGGATGCATCCAGAAATACTGAGGATGAAAGCTGAGAGTTTTAGATGTACCCAGTCCACCCTGAAAGAGTAAAGAGTAAAAAAAAATTTAAAAACCGAGGTCATTCACAGGATTTTTCTTCACTCAGAAATGAGCATGGTGAATATGTATATGATGTGTCGGTGCTCAAGTACGAGTGCATCCAAACTGAGGATTACTTGTGCCTGAGTGTGCACAAGAGATGAGTGGTAGAAGAGAGAATTGGGTGAGAGGGTGGCTGTCCAGAAAAGAAAGGGATGCATAGTGTTCATATTTATTTTGTTATTTCTGAAAAAATCTGTAGATGCTTTTTTTGGTCACAGACATTGAGAACTCTTACAGTGACAAATGTGTTGTGTAAATGTAATCCGTATTGGTAATGATAATAATAATTTAATATTATTATTACATTTTTCGTACAAGTGTCTCTCCTATTATTTTCATTACTAATTTTATTGTTCTATAGAATTAGTGGTATTATTTTCATCATCGTTCTTCTTCTCGTTATGGTATTTAAATATTGTTATTTTATTTATGGTCTATTTTTGTTTTCTTATTTGATATTATTATTATTATTCTAATGTGATATTATGTTTGCAGCAATACTGCACGTGCGCTTGCAAAACTCCAGTAATATTGGAACTCGTCGCTTTTCAACCCTGTGGTCTAGTGCCTATGCAAACACAGACGGCCAATGGAAGTCAAAGACAGTAGACCTAGGGCAACTGCCTCCTGGTTATGTGGTAAGTGGTCTGTTTGACAGGAAATTCAGGACTACTACATGACATGTACTGTGCCTATCACTACCACTACTTTTTTTTTTTTTTTTAATTTATGCATGTCGTAGGGGTACTGAGCTTTAGAGCTTTTGTGGTCTGTGTGTTTTTTTGTAAGCGCCACTGAGCGCTTTTTATGGATACCTGCGCGTTATAAATTCATTTATTATTATTATTATTATTATTATTAGTAGTAGTATTATTAGTATTATTAGTACTACTACTACTACTGCTACTACTACTATTACTACTACTACTGCCACTACCACTACCACTACCACCACCTCCACCATCACCACCTCTTCCTCTTCCTCCTTTTCTTCTGCTTCACCTTTCTGCACCCCCCCCCCCCCCCCCCACAAACCCAGACACCCCTTTTACAAAAACAAAATAAAAACAACAACACCCAATCTTTTGCCATTCTGTCTGTTTGAATTACTTTAGATTTGAGCCAAGACTAAGTACAGTAAATATCTAGGTGCTTTTCCAAGCCAAATTGAAATGATTCTACAAGTTGAGGGATCTAAATAGCTGTTAAGTTGTTGGAAATCTTGCTTTGGGTCCCTTTTATCATTACCAGCATCTAATTTAGAGAGATCTTCAAAATAATCAATAACGTCTTGTGTTGTAAACGCTGTTTTCTGTACACATTTGTGAGGCAGCGTGGTGGAATCAGGCTCTCGTCAATTTTTGGGCATGTAGAGTTATTGGTGTCATCTTAAAGCTTGTTCACTTGTCTTTATTTCCATGAAAAAAATATCCATTTATCTCAAATACAAGTCGAGATAATTAATAATGAAGGAGATGGGGTCACCTGTTTTCAAATGTAAAATTAGTCGGAAAATGGCCACCAGAGATGGTTATTTCCTTAGCTTAAGAGTCCGTGGTAACCGAAAATTTACAATTTTGTGCCTTAAATCAACGTTTTTAAGAAATATCCACACAGAAATGAGTTCTTTAAAGGGCATGAAAGGTGTTGAGCCAAAAAACAAAAATTCGATAAAAACTCACAAACCAGCGGGAAAATGCAAGTTTCTTCACTTTGATTATTTTGACGAGAGCCTGATTCCACCACGCTGCCTCACATTTTGTCTCAGGTGGGCAGAGAAAGGGTCTCGCTCACCACTGGACCGGTGTGGCTAGGCATACGGGCAGTTTTACACACCACCAGTGAACCGGTGGCAAGGGCTCAAAGGGTTAAAGTCTAATCAGTTTGCAGCTCTCTCTCACAAGACAGACTTACTTTTTCTGTGATCCAGCCCTCACTAGACAAACTTACGGGGGCTTTCGTGGTCTAGAGGTTAAGGTGTTAGCCTCTCATTCAATAGGTTGCTAGTTCGAATCTGGATACAGACGGAACATTTTCTTCTCTAAAAATGTTCTCCTTTCACATCCTTTTCGGCTCTCTTAACAACGTTCTGTCAACTGCTTTTGTCTCCACTTTCTGCCCCCACCCCCTCACCTCCTGTGCCCTCTCCTCTGGGCTCCTGACTCTTTCTGCTGCCTTTCTACTAATACTCCTTGGCTCTTTCTTGTGCTGTCTTTCAGCTACACCCCTGATACTATGGTAGGTAAGATCTGCACCTAGCCGTCTTGGATAGGGGCAAAAAATCTCGGTGGTTCCGTACAAGTTGCGCCCGTTAAAGATCCCTTGGTGGTCCAAAATCAATCAGAATAGGCTTCAGCCACCACCTGGGAAAAATTCAAAATTTCCTATCAACTGAAATTCCAAATTTCCTATCAACTGAAAATGTTTAATGTGTCCAGCGCTCTCATATGACCTTATGCAGTGGTGAGCACTGTAAAACACACATACACACAAAAAAAAGATGTTAAAAATAAAAAAACCCTTTCTTTTTCTGTGAACCAGCTCTCACTAGACAAACTTACTTTTTCTGTGAACCAGGTGCTGATTACGGCCTTGCCATCCAGATCAGGAACTCCTCCTGCTGTTGCCATTGACGACATTGTCTTCAAGAATTGTCATCCATCCAGTACTGTGCCCCCAAATTCCAGTAAGTCATTGAGAAGTTTTAAAGTTTTTTCCTTACTTTTTATCTTTAGCCACTCACTGACTTTTGTTTGTTGCTCAAAGGGATATCTATAGTTTTTTGGGGGTTTTTTCAAAAGAGATGTAATGTAAGAATAATCCTGGAAAGCTCATGTAGTTATGGGGGCTGCAAAACTCTTACTAAGCTAAACTAATCCTGGAAAGTGGTAATGAGCCTTTTTTAATCTATTTTTGTTTCCTTAAATTTTAACTGTGGGTTATTATAAGCAGATATCCTCTTAAACACCAGTTCTGCTTTGAAGTTAAAAAATATGTTTCATTCTTTTCAAATGCGTTTCTAAAATGGATAAAAGCCCTGTTCGAAATTTTGCCTTCTGATACACTAAGATTACCTTAATTATAGCTCTGTCCTTGAATTGTCTGAATATCAAAATGTTACATATAATTGAAAAGCATGCTGATAAAATGAATTACTTCTCAGATTCGAACCTTATGGGAATAGATGTACATCACACCTATAAGTGAAGTTTTTACAATTTATAAGTGAAATGATGAAAGGCATGTCATGCTTAAAGAATATGGCATCAATAGAAAATCTACAAATTTGACCCTAGTGTCGATTTTTGGCAAAAATACCTCCATTTGTGAATTGCGAGAAATAACTCGTTTTGTCAGCCCGCCTCACAATTTTTATTATCTTCTATTATACAGCCGTGGACTGCACATTTAGCTCTCGTGACATGTGTGGCTATGTCCAGTCCCACACTGATGATTTTGACTGGACTCTGAGCACTGGCATCACAGGATCTGTTGGGACAGGTCCATCTGGGGATCACACCACGGGCACTGGCAATTACCTGTACATTGAGACGTCTGCCCCCCAAAGTCCCGGAGACAGAGCTGTCATCTTGTCTTCTCTACAGCCTGTCACAGGTAACTCTCGTGCTTTGCACACACACACGCATGCTGACACACACACGAATGCGCACACACACACACACGCATGCTGACACACACACGAATGCACACACACACACACACACACA